AGCCTAGACTTTAATTTATCGTGGTGAATGGCTGTGTATTAAGTTGAAAAGTTGTAAGTTTTTAAGCTGTTTATTTTAGGGAATTCTTTGGATTTCAAATTGTCCAAAAGTTCCACGGAATTTTTAAGCATTCATATCTTATTTACTACGTCTTGAGTATATTCTTGCACAGTACTCTTAAAGTTTCTCCTTCACAACTGTTAAAATTTTAGTGAGGAGTAAAGAATGAGGCTTGGTTCAACATTTACTTGAACCCGCTATTTAAGCAATGAATCACCATTTTTTGAAAGATATGGTTTTATAACTGCAACGGTGTGTGCAAACAAATTGAGCATTATGAAAATTTATTTGGTCACACCATTGCAGTTATGAGACTATATCTTTCCAAAAAATGGTGATTCATTGCTTATATTTACATTTTTAACTCTCTACTTTGACTGCAAATGTGATTTATATTTAAAAACCTATGTATTATCCATAAGTAAGTACAGTTAATGGAAGAACCAACGTAACAACTTCTTGGCAATGTGAGTGTGCTCAGCTATGTTAAGGAACGATATGGAAAATGTGACCATTGCACCATTTAAATATGTATTACGTCTTTTAAAAAATTGTAACAAAGCAACTGAATACATGTAGAAAATGTAATATAGCTATCTATAATGGATTGGACTGGGCCGTAGTTATTACCAGTTATATCGCACGTATCAGCTGTTGGTCACGTGACTTGTATAAAAATAGAATTGTTAAGCTGAATCTAGAGAATGGGGAAAGTGCAAGCCTTAGGGCATACGCTTGTTTTTCAAGAAAAAATTGTTACACATTAAAAGAAGTTCATTTCCTCTACCCAAAAAGTGCTGGGAGCTAGTCAGTGCTGTTCGTGTGAAGTACTACAAATTTTGCCGAAAATGCTTATAATAGCTAGAAAGAACTATATGCGGTATAGAATATTTCCAGTCAAATTTTCGCTTAAATTCTGAATTCAATAAATGAGAAATAAAATTAATATTTATGTCAAAGCAGTGTATTCACAATTTTTGTTTCTAGCGTCACAAACTAGCACTTTTCAGAATAGGGGACAAAATGGACAAAATTTCAACAATTTTAGCTTTAAAATATAAGCAAGTTTGTTCAGGAACAATATTGACATATTTCATTGATATTATCATTCTACACATTATTTCTTTTTATTGATCCTGAACACACATGCGCAAAATATCGACGAAATTGCACATTTTTAATGTAAAATTCATAAAAAACTGAAATTTACGTCATGTTTGTGACGTCATTACGTACATATGGCGTCATTACTTATGAAAATATTCAGTGCTTTGAAGTCAGCATATACTCCTGTTTAAGAACTTAATTAAATATATCTCCATCAAAGTTTGATTTGGGGGGCAAATATTGGTTATTACCGAATAAAGTTCTTTCCACTTCGCTTAAATTGTATTTAATAGATTATTTTCTTTTAGTTTTAATGATTAGGTTTTAAAATTAGCAATGGTATTATATTTATTCAAGCATTCTTGTAATCACCAAACCAATGAATCTAGTCCTCTGGATCCCCTGCGCTGCGTCATGTCAAGGCTGATGACGTCGTATTTGACAAAAGGTTTTCTTCTATTACTTGACTGTATTGCTATCAAGTATTGAGATTTTACAGGATTTTATAAATATTCGATACAATAAATAAATTCAAGTTGTTATTTACACATTATCATGTCGTTGATTAATTTTGTGGCTTGTTAAATTTCAATGACGTCACAATTAAACTTCCAATACGATATACAAGGAATGTGAACTCTGACCTTCCTTAACATAGCTGAGTGACGCCAAAAAATATAGTCCTGGTTCCCATGCAAAATATTTGTCAAAAAAGAAATCCTAGTTCATAACAGCAGAAAGTTGTATCATAAAGAATTCTTATAATTTTTTAACTTAAATGAATTCAAGAAAGATCGATTGAAGTACATTTCTAGAGAATGATATTAAAGGGTGGTGAAAATTAAAACGCAACATAACTTTTCTGTTTACCATGTTTCCACGTGCCAGTCACTTCCTAGCCACATTTCCATGAATAATTTACCTCTCTCGCTGAAGTCTCCCTAACTCTCGCCAGAGCCACTGTCAAAGCTACTCTGAACTCATCGGGTTTTATAATTTGCAGAACACCGAAAAATAAAAGGTTCCGAACACATTAGTAGGGATTAGCAGTGATTGATCACTCCTCCCTGGCACTTGATCCCATCTCTGATGTTTTAGAGGTCCAAGATTTCTCTGCTCCTATTTTATGTTGTTTTATGGACTTTTGATCTTAATGAATACTGTTTGTTATCTCCGTATGTTTCATGTTAATTCAAAATTAGAAATGAATTAATATTTAGTTGGTGCTTATTATATAAGGGGGATATACGAGGATTTGATTATCCTTTTGAAATTACCCACATTATATTTTCAAAGGAGAACGAATTTTTCATCTAATGGCAAAATGTCTATTGATATAAAAGATTTGTGGTAAAATTGAAATAGAATTTAAAAGAATCAGTAAAACTAAACTTCCAAATAGAATAATTTTATTATGAAATTTCAGTTTTATTATCATTTTTGTACTCGCAATATAGAACTTATGTAATATTAAAAAACAATAACAGCTCAACTTAATAGAAAAAAACCTGGTTAATTCGACAATGCGGTCTTAAAAGGCATTATTTGTAACCACTTGAATTATTTTTTTATATGTGCTTCTTAACTACATAAGTTTTAAAGGATTATCAAAAGAATAAGGTCGGTGCAAGTAAAGGGAAACACTGCAATTTTTACTATTCATTGAATTTTGGTTTATTACGGGAAAAAATCAACCTTTATTCAAATTGTAAGTTTTATCAAATGAGGAGAAACAAAAAATTTTTTTGATATTCCAACTTTACTATGCATTATTTGCCGCTCCTTGCATAAAAACCTTATACCCATCGTCGGTATCAGTTATGACCAGCATTGGGCATCCGACGATGTCCTATACATAGACTTAAGGATATACATACTATAGACAACATTTTCTATTCTCCAAAACAGAAGAGTCAAACTAGCACATGTAATATTTCAGTAAAAATGTAAATCAGAAATTTGAATTGAAAAAAAAGAAACCCTCGGCAAGAAAATCATACATTTTATTTTTAATTTTCGAACAAAACATATTGATCTGTAAATTTGCAATCTTGCAAAATTTTGTGGCTTGGCCAAACATTCAGTTGATAAACTTAAGACATTTGACTTTAAAAGTGAGTGGAACCAAATTAAGCAAAGACATAAAATTTAAATTGTGTAATTTATTCTTTACAAACATGCGGAATGGTGGATGTCTTTTGGACGAGACCTTAAAAATCGACAAGGAAGACGTTTGCACAAATGAGATCTCTCTGTTCAGTTTCCCCGTGTTCCACGGGTCGAAGATTGACCCTTTCATGAAATATTGTTAAGTCTCTATCTGAGTTGAAAATTCCAGGAAGTAATTCTATAACAACACACAATCAACCAATTTATCGCAAGACACTGAAAAGAAGAATAGTTTTAACTGTGAATACCAGAGCAGAGGTCAGAAGATATTTTAGGAGTTGATAGAAGATCTTTTAAAATATACAATGCAAGTTTATTGATCTTCGTTTGTGTGTTAAAACTGTGGTATATAATTATAATTATTATGATATAATTATATTTAATTATGCGATAATAAAAAAAAGAGGAAATACTATATGAGCATTTAAGTGTACAAAAAGTTCAAAAAAGGAGTATTTTTTCTCTTTCTTAATAGGATTGAATGAGAAATATGAATGCCAATCAGGAGAACAGAACAGGTTTTAAAAAAAAAATTCTGTGGAATTATAGTTTAATTTGTAAGCATTTATTTGACACACTGTAAAATTACTATTTTTAATTTGGCTTTTAGTGAAATTTATCTCTATTTAATGTAATTCATCTGAGAAGTTGTCAAACAAGTTATGATGACAAATAAATATTGAACATTGCAATCTTCTTAAAAAAAAAAAAAAAACCAATTGCCTCAGCTTAAAATGTTTAAAGAAGAAACAGTTCTCCTTCTGCTTAGTTAGCAAAATCGTACCTTTTGTCAAGAGTTTTAAAAAATTGTCTGAAAACAGTAAAGAAAGATACATGTATTTATTAAATTTTATTTCTACAGAAACAATATATGCAAATAAAGAAAGAACAAAAGAATCAATAAATTGGATTTTAAGTATTCCAGTAACCAAGTTTGAGTGCATGCTCAAAAGTGTGAATTACTTTTTTTACATAAGAGTAGCAATAATACACGAATATGTAAAAGCGGTTTAAGAATACACAGACTCTGTGCCAATTGTGTTATCAAATGGTATAGAAAAAGAACATTCGACGTTTTACAATCTAACTCTCGTGTTCCCTTTAGATTACCTCAGTGTAGCTCGAATTAAATGTGGAAAATCCAATAGAATTCAATGTACGGGGGATTTTTATACATGTATAATGATTTCAGCAATGAATAACATGTATATTGCATATTAATATTTTATATTCATAGGTTATTGATAAAATTCTGCTGAACTTACAATCCTAATTTGATTGGGGCCTAGCATCGTGCATAACAAATATTTCAGAGAGTTTAGAAAATTCTTTTATCAATTGTTGTTCAGATTATTTGGTAAAAAATTATTCAAGCAAGTCAAACGAGGTTTCAAAAGTTTCTCCGGTTTCCTTGACTGTCGACGACACCTTGATTTCTGTCATACCGAAAGTATAATGTTCTTCTGCTTCCCATTTGCCCTGGATGTATTCAGGTACAGAAACGTTCAGCTTGCCAACAAGTTGAAAGTTGTCTTTAATCACTGCAGGACCGTTTTCCTCTGTGCAATATAAGCGCAAAACGTAACCTTTCTGATCATCATAAAGTGGAACTGCCGTATGAGTTAATGTTTTCCCAGATGAAGGTACTTTTGTATCTCTGGCGATTAGCTGGTCGAAGGCATCGTTACATCTTTCAATGCCTTTTTTATCGATATATCGTTTTCTTCCGGATGCTTTGTTGAATCAAAAATGGCATGTACTGCAGGACCATAGGAATACCGTAAAATTCTTGACGATATCGCCATAGGATCATGTCCAAATAGTACTGCACCCTTGATAACAGCCAAGCTACACTCATTGGGTATAACAATATTTTTGTTCGAAAACTCTTTTTTGAATGTTTCTTGTAACAAACTACACTCGCCATAACCACCAACAATGAGAATATGTTCTATATTTGTGACAGTTTGTAAAATTTCCATAACATGTTTTTTAGTTTGACTTAATGAGTCTTCGAAAAAACTCATCATCATTCGAGCAGAAATTTTCACCTTGTCTTTCACAATTTTTACTTGATCTTTTAAATAGGATGCCTGAATAGCTTTCATTTTATCTTGGTCAGAGCAGTTTTGGTTTAGTATAGCTGGCAATTTTGTAACAAAAGACATCTGAAAATCTGGATTGATTGAGCGCTTTTTGTTTTCAAATTCTTTGAGAATTGTAAAATATTCTCCCATATCATGAAATTTGAGCTTTTCAAGTGCTTTTTGTCAAAAAATTGTATCGTATATTTTCAGGTATTTTTCATCAACGTAAATCCCTCCATACGGCCCTCCACTCGCGCGATAAAGTTCTGTCAATGACCCATCGTCGTCAACTTGATGAACACTAAAGTCAGCTGTGCCACCTGAAAGATATTACCATGATACACAAATGTATACAGGATATTTATAGATTTTGTAGTTCGATAGCTGTTTTAGCCAATTACTTGGATGAAATAGTGAATATTCGCGAGGCTTGCCGAGGCAATATTCATCGTTATAATTCATCGATGGATAAATCAAATATCAAATCACACAATGATTTTTTTCATACTATTTTCGTTTTTAACAAAACTTTTAAATAAACCCCGTGAAATTATGAATGAAATATTCAATGATGCAATTAATTGATGACATCTTACTGTTGATGATTTTAATTTAAAACAAAATAAAAGAACTTATTAAAT